TATATATATATATATATATATATATATTTACAGAATTTTTAAGATATGATGACTTTTATGCAATAAAGTTCAAGATAAACCTTCTAAATTTAAATGGATGAGGTTAGTTATGGTTTTATTGCCAAAAGTAATTGATTTTCTTACTTCCTTTCGTACCTTATAGCTAGTTCGGGTTTTTTAAACTTATATACCTCTCAAAATTAGGATTTTAAATGTACCCCCTAAATCTTCATATTTGCTACTTTAATCCCCCTCCACCCCCAAATTCACAATATACCTTTAAGGTACCCCTTATTTTTATTATGAAGAGATACTTGGTGTATTCCCCTATATTTTGATTTATTTTCGAAATATGACAAAATTAATGCAGTATACTTATTAAACTAATTCACCCATCTTCTCTCTCTCACTGCTTACATATATTCCTTATCATCTTCGAGTACATCTCTAGCGCCTTCGATACCAATTATTTTATGCTTACGTAGTGGTGATTGAGTTTTTACGCACCATATCTCTCCACCTATGTTGCGTGAACACTTCTATCATGAAGTCCATACTCGACACTTTGCATAGTTGTTTCAGACACTGATACTTCTTGGGCACTCCTTGAATATATGCATGTACTCAATTATATAGTACACGATTTAATTTAAAACACTCATCCTACACTTCTTGAACGCATATTCTATACTTAATATCCACTTTATGAAACTTGTTAGAAAAAGGCCACTTTCATTTCAGCACTGACTCAGTTGAGAACTATGATTTTAGAGGGTTATTTGTAGATCTGGTTCAAAAAACGAGCGTACATAATAAAGAAACATAAAAATGTTATAGGAATTTGGTTCTCATAAGATAACATGTGGATGAAAGAAGAATATTGATCTCATGTAATTATTCATGTTAATATATATACCCATGTCTCTGCACCCTACCTTTTACTAATTTGATGTGTCCCATACCCATGTCCACAACCATGCAACATAGCTCTCTGGCATTGTCTCAAACTTGGTTCTGGTTTTATGTGAATATGTGCTTGCTTCAAATAGTTGATCAATTGAATTTGTGATAACATTGTCGGACTTGAACCTTGATGTCTCCTTGACTTAACCCAACAATTATAGGATCATGAGAGTTCGTAACAAAACTATCATATCAAAATTCTTATTTCATAATAGAAAGCGATACATGATATATATTCTTCTTATTGGATATGGGTTAAATACACAATGTGGGTTAAACCTAAATATCCGTAACTTATTTCGAACACTCCCCCTCAAGCGAGAGCATAGATATCTATCATGCCTAGCTTGTTACATAAAATTGAAAAGATCTTAGAAGAGGTTCCCTTTGTAAGAATATCATCAATATGTATGAGACTGCGAAGGAGATATAAGAGACCCTATAAGAGGTGTATGCTAATGAGAAGAATATCTCTAGGGTATTTGAATTGTATGAGAAGTTGTTTACTCTTTAATAGAGAGAGCGATCGATCGCTGAGTATTACTCTACTATGCGGGGAATTCTAGATGAGTTTGATGTTCATCAGCCCCTTGTGACAGATTAAAAAACCCTAAAGGACTAGCGACAGGAGCTGTTGTTGCCAAGTTTCTTTTCAGGTTAGGTTCTGCATTACTTGGGTGTGAGGCTAGATACTCAGTGCAGTTCTTTGACCTCCACATTCTGTAGGGTATTGAGATTGTCAACTAGGTCCGGATCTACACCATCGTCGACACCTTTGAATTAGTAGTCGGCTTTATATTCTACTTTTGGTGATGGATGCGGTCAAGGATGTGGACGCGATTCAAGGGGAGGTCGTGGATTTATTGGCGCACGCTAACCTGGAGATCGAAGGCGTCACTGCATTCATTGTGGGAGGAACAATCACATTTCTAAGAAGTGTTGGACTAAGTTTGGGAAGCCAGAGTGGGCTTACATGGCTATTACAGATGTTCGCCTGCTGGATACACTCCTACACCTTCATCTGCTGCTATAGGGAATGCGACAGTTCAGATTTCTCAAGCTGACTATGACAGGTTTTTACAGCCCCAGTCCTCAAACAAGTCATATAGCCACTAATGCATCCACTTCAAATATGGATTCTTTCGTTGCTTCCTCTGAAAGACCTTGAGTACTAGATTATATTTGTCAAGAGCCTCTTTTTATATGATAGATATAAAAGAAAATTTTCATTCTTTAAACCTTTCCAACAAATTTCATCTTGTTCATATTGTTGATGATACATACTCTCCTATTCGTGGTGATGGAGTAGTTTATACTGCATCTTTATCATTGGAAAATGTAATATATGTTTCTAAATATTTCATGTTAGCTTATTGTCTATTAGTCAACTTACAAAACATAATAATTGCTTTGTGACATTTTTTCTTCATATTGCATTTTTCAAGACCTCCGAACTGGGATGAGGATTGGTCAGGCCGTGAGAGAGGAGGAACGCACTATCTGAAAAATAGTGTATCACCTTTTGATTTTGCAGCAAGTTCTTCTGATGCTCCTTTCCAATAGCATCACTGTTTAGGACACCCCTCCTTGTAGAAGCCTAGATATATCCTTTGCAGTAGATCTTTTGAGTCTATCATAAGCCTAGAGAGTTTCACTGGAAAGTCGCACTTAGAATTCTAGCCTATATAAAGAGCTCTCCTAACAAAGGTTTACTGCACAAAAACCATGGACGTGCTAATTCGTACCTACTCAGATTCAGGTTATGCAGGAGATAGAGGAGATAAGAAATCTACGATTGGGTACTGTACATTTGTAGAAGGAAATCAAGTGACTTGGAGCAGTAAAAAGCAAGAATTGGTGTCTCGGCCTAGCGTAGAAGCTGAGTATCTGGCGATGGCTTATACTACCTATGAGATCGTGTGGTTGAAGAATTTAATTGGGGAATTTAGTTTTTCGTAGCCAAGTCCTATGCATGTGTATTGTGATTATCAGCTTGCTATCTACATTGCAAAGAATCCGATTTTCCATGAGAAGATTAAGCATACACAGGTGGATTGTCATTTTGTGCGGGATGCTACGATAAAAGAATTGATATGCACTGCTTTCACACCGTCTTTGGAAACATAACATTGGAGCTCACTTTCTCCATACTGTTTAGCAGCCGAGCCATCACACAACAATCAGCAGCCAACCAATCAGAATAGCTAGCATCCTTACTATCAAGTGGACCATCAATCAATTGCTTCATCTTCTCCTGAGCACCAATGAACAATCTGAAGGACTTAGTCCACAACAAATAGATTTGTGCCATTTACTTTCTCTGTTGTAGTAGTTAGAAGTTTTAGCACCAAGTTCTCCAACACTGGGGAGGTAATAGTAGAAAGCGATACATGATATATATTCTTCTTATTGGATACGGATTGAATACCCAATGTGGGTTAAACCAAAATATCCATAACTTATTTCTAACAATGAGAATGTCTCCTTGGTTATTATGATAATTCTATCTTTATCCCTCTTGATGTGTTAGTTTTCTCTTGAATAGTTCTCTTCCTCTGTTTCCATGATTGCTACTTCCAAGCAACAACCATTACATTGTACGAATTGTTTTCCATTTCTTTTTCACTCGTATCTTGCGTGATCTGACTCCTTGCTTTTCTCAAAAAAGTAGGGTATATAAATATTGCACACAACAAAGAGGTTGGGAAAAGAGGGAGAGAGCGAGAGGGGTACATCTCTCTTTTCTCTTTTTTGTAGGAGTGTTAAGATTTTTATTTTTTTTATGAGGTATTAGATGAGGGTAGAACAGGAATTTCTCCAAATATAAGCTAGTTGAGGGGTAACTCATGGTTTGGGATGAAATTGAAGGTGAATTGGAAAATATGAAGATTTGTGTGGGTAAATTTTAGAAATGCGGATTTGGGGGGAGGGGTATAATAAAAAAAACCTAAATTTGTTCATCTTGTTTATTAAAATGCCCTATGGATAGGGGAGTAGTATTCAAATAAATTAAGTTATTAAGTTCTCCAATTAGGTTAGCAGCATCTATACTGTTTCTTCATAGGTCTCAACAATGGTTGATGTAAACAATCAACCAGCCTCCTCGACTGCTACTTTTGATTCATATAAAGACAAGAAGCTAAAGGTTCAAACTTATGCAGCTATTGGACCTCAAAGATTCAAAACAAGCTGTTTATGGGACTTTAGATGCTTGGGTGGCATGGGAGCACAACTTTCCTCTAGTATCCTTGAAAAGGGCATTGCTTGTTCTTCAGAAGGAGGAACAGTGGCATCGCATTGTTCAGGTAAAGTAAATTAATAAATTTCATGTCATGACCGCATTTATTGCACTTCATCTACATTGTGATCTGCATTTGAAATCACAAACAGTTGAAATGGTTCCAATGTTGATGATTATAACCAAACTAATATGCAATTTCTCTTTTAAGTTTATTTTTCTATTCATCATATGACTTTTCACTATAATGCTTTCTCTGGTAGGCTTTTCCTTAAACCCTGCTTGTAAGGCTTTTCCTTAAAACCCTGCTTCAGGTGATAAAGTGGATGTTAAGCAAAGGGCAAGGAACCACAATGGGAACGTATGAGCAGTTAATACGTGCTCTAGAAAAAGATGGCAGGGCAGAAGAAGCTCATCAGTTGTGGGTGAAGAAAATTAGTCACGATTTGCATTCAGTGCCTTGGACATTTTGTGAGCTTATGATATCTATTTATTATCGAAATAATATGCTAAGTAGGCTTGTCAAGGTATAATTCTTTCTACACAATCCACTTTTGCCATTATTTTCTCATTCTATGCGATCAAATAATAATGTTGAGCATTTCATATTAGACTTTTTTCTTTCTCATAATTTTTATGTAATCAGTTTTATCTTCATGTGATTTTCTTTTGTTCGAGATAGCTTTTCAAGGGATTGGAGTCATATGAGCGCAGACCTCCATATAAGTCCATAGTGCAAAAGGTGGCAGATGCATATGAAATGCTTGGTATATTAGAGGAAAAGAATAGAGTATTAGAAAAATATAGTGACTTATTTAGTGATGCACCAAAAGAACGCTTCAAGGAATCTCGAAAGGGTTCACGAAAGAATCAAAATAAAGCAGGTAAAGCATTCGATCAGTAACATAGTAGACATGGTAGTACATATGAGTTGATAAAGCTGTGTAAAATGAATTTCTTTTCAGGTAAAGAAAAGAATAAAGTTAAAGAAGCCAATGAGAATTTTGAAGTGGACTCTGGTCCTTCAAATGAAGAAGTTGTTTAACATTGAGTAGAGAGTAGAGAATATTCTGAAGGTAGGTATCCTTCTATTATCAAAATTCTCATTTTTATTTTCCCTCTTTGACTAATGACTATATTCTTGTTCAGTTAAGAGTGCCCAATAGAAAGCTGAGGATTACCAGGAAGAATGACAGCACTTACAGATCAAACCTATTCAGCCTTTCATGTTCAACATCGAAGTTCATTGCCAATTTGCACTTGCAATGTATAGCCCTCTCTCTCATTCCTCAATACCGGTTGATTGTATTAATCTACACTGTAAATCAGCATAGAATTATAAGGCTGCACTTAGTAGGATGCTCATTTTTGAGGGAGAAACACCGTGATTCGTTCTCTTCTGGTGAAGACCTTATATGTGAAGTTGGGGCAGTCAATTATAGAAAAATTATCATGTTCTGGTGAATGATATGATCTTGTCTGAGCTATGATCTTGTTCTTGGCCGATTGTGAATTATTTTTATTTTTATTTTTATTTAGAAGATTTTAATCATAATGTCCCATCTTAGCTAGTATAAGAAAGTGGCGTTATTATTGTTCAGGGTGGTTTATGTGTGGTTAAGGTATTTATTCACGATATACTGAATGGAGCCTGAATTCTATCATATCGGCAACATGGGATGAATTGTTCTGATCTATATAGGAGAATTTTTTTTTCTTTAGGTAGGGCCGTGGAGTGGGAGTTTGACGAGTATTTATTCTTGTCAGAATCTACTGCACGGTGCAGGACAATTTGAACCTGATATGGGAGCAAAGAAGTGACCAATTTGCTCCCCTATTATCCAACTGTATTGTTTAGATTGCTCTGTGCTATGAGGTGTTGTGATGGAATACCTAATCAAAATTGACTATCCCGTTGTACTGATCGGAATGACTTGTTGTATTTGACTGACTTAGAAACCAAAATAGAACTGAATGGGTCACCTGTATCCATATCAATTCTTCTATTTAGTTAGTTATGTCTACCATATCAGTTGCTAATACTTAAGCCATGTTTAGATTAGGGACTAGGTTTATCCAAGGATTAATTTAACTCATTATAGTCTTATGGCACAATAACTCTAGAGGCTATAAGAATTTGTTTGGTTCAATTTGTTATAACATTTTTAATACCTATGTCATGTCTAGAAACTCGTCATTATAAGGTGGTATAGGAGTAGTACACAATAGACAATGTCCACTATCCTCGTTTACCTGCTGACCATGGTTTTAGCTAAGTCCTAGTAATCCACGATGTAGAACCTGCCTCTCTAGTGAAGAGATCAGATTTTTCTAGCCATTACGATTCATCGCCAATGTAATTCTCATTGGTCCTCTTTGCAATTAACCCATGTATCATTCCCGTATGCCGGCGAGTCACAAGTCCGCAATAGCAGCAATAAAAACAGGGGAGAGGGAAAACTTGGAGAGAGAGAGAGAGAGAGAGAGAGCACGATTATGGAAGCACATCGATTTTGATTGATCGCTCTCTCCTAGCGCCACCTAGGGTTTTACTCCGTAGTGTACATCAACGTTACATGGAAAACAATATACATTATTTCACTTGTATACTGATTGGAACAGCATGCAATTCTTGGGAATGACAAGGGCAAGGGGTCTTTTTGCTTCCAATCCCAAGTGAGAAATAGTCCCATGACTATAATAAACACCTCTCTCCCCCACCGAACCACTTCTTTATTTAGTAAGGAATCTCTTGGCTATTTTATTTTAACGGACTAAATAGCCGGACTAAATCTTCTCCAAGATTTTAAACCAAATAGCCCACTACATGATCTTAATGTTCAAGTCTATAGTTTTTACAAACGTGATATTCTGGACAAATAGTGTGTCCTTTGCTGTTGTGTTGAATTTTGATTAGCCCAACCCAACATGAATTATAGCTACAAGTGTTAACGGATTGTATACGATACTTTTATCATATATCTACCCGCTTACCAATCACCAATATGGACAAGAATATATCCAGGTAAGGAAAACTCAAATACGTATCTGCTAAAATCAGAGATAAATAGGATATACATGCAAATACATGTGGATATGCATGCGGGTACAAAACGGACGTGAGAAAACTAAATAATATCGAAAAAAATATAGTCCATATGATACAATAGAATTCATTGATGTTTGTTACATCCGAAAAACTAAGATAATATCTTTTGATCATCAAAATTAGTTTCAAATCTAGTAATCTAAGGATTGAAACGGTTGCAATTGTATAATCAAACATATGTTCGAACATTTCAAAGACAAATATAGATATTTCAGTGCGTAAACCATATTCTTAATCATATCTTGTCGGCTACTGAGGGAACACTGCACGGTCGAATATTTCGGACACGGATATATTTTGGCACCCCTAATTACAGTCCAAAGAGTGAGCACAGCATGGTTGAGTTATAATTCTTAGAGCAGACCTGTCAAATTCGATAGTGAGCACAAAGCATGGTTGATTAGCCCGCCCACAGTAAACACCACATAGTTGGGTCACAATTCTTAGCTCAGCTACATATAAAAAAGCCTTGCTAGTCAACCCAAAGCAAACATGTGAAGGAAATAAGATATCTCTCTTCCAAATAAAAGGTGTCAAGTTCAAATCCCAAAATTGGCAGCAGAGGTTACTCAAGCGAATTTTGTTGGATGAATTGACCTGATAAAGAGAGATGTCATATGTTTGAGAAATTAGGTAGTATTCAAAGTGATTTCAATAATTCAATATTCTCTCAAATAAACGTTTTTCAATTTCGATTTTCACCATTGCCACCGTTGTCTCTCAAAGGAATCACTTTCTGATAATTTATCAGCATGAACTGTAGGAGAATGTGATATATACCAAATGATGGATGGATGGCCAAAGGGATCAGAGGCCTTCATTGGAAAATTGAGTGCTTGGCTACAATTTAAGGGGTAATAATAAATATCATGATATTGAGGATAATTTTAAAACAAGCGTATGCTTTTAAAAATGCCTATATAATATATGATATAATATATATATAATATATATATATATATATATATATATATATATATATATATACTACTACGTATGGAGAGGGTTCTCCATAAAAAAGAAATCAAAAGACTTACCTTAGGGCCTATAAAACCCATAGAAAACCAATATCATTCGCCATTGGTCTGAATGAATCCCCATAATGGCTAGGAGTCAGTCCGGAAACACCAGCCTGCACCAGTTAACGGTGAAAAGGACAGCGACCAGCAGAGCCACCCATCCCCCCCCACGGCCCCCACCTCTCCACCCGGCTCGAGATTATTACCATTCCCCTTCGCTAGACAATTACCTCAACGAACAATCTGGATTCACTGGCAGTGAATCTGGATTCCATTTACAGTTTAAAAAAACGTGTTCGTCCACCGATGAATCTGGATTCACTGTAGTGAATGCTGGATTTCACGTGCAGATGAAAAAAACGTGTTCGTTGAGGTAATCGAACTCTGGATTCATGCAGTGAAAGGACAGTTCGTTTGAGGTATGATCTGGAATCACTGTAGTGAATCTTGATTCACTGCGTTGAGATAATTAATTGCATGGTGTTTACAATGAGGTAATTAATGCATAGTGTTGTGACTGTTTGACGGTGAATCCTAGCCATTGGATGATATTGGTTTAGTTTTTAGGCTAAGGAGTTTTTATTAGAACCCAGTTGGTTGTGCCCCCGCGGGAACGGTCTACTAAGCGACCACCGACAACTATAGAACCCGCGGCCGTCACCATCGACTCGCGCGATTCTGCTGCTCCGGCACGAACGACTGACCCCACCCGCTGGCGCGGCCAACTCATGCTCTCCATATATATATATATATATATATATATAATTATATATATATATATATATATATATATATAGAGAGAGAGAGAGAGAGAGAGAAACTTATGTCAACTTAAGTGGACGTCTACTAAGTTTCTTAGTCATTGATGATCACTTGATTGAGCTACATTGTGGATGATCCGCTCCGTTAAACTTGATCTACATATTCTAAAACCCCAACACACCAAATTTGGGGTGAACCCGTCGTGGTTTGACCCTCCGTCGAGCCATGTAAAAAGTTCTATTCATTCGAAACCGTTAAAATTGATACGAGTGGATGAAGGGTCAAACCATGACGGATTCAACCCAAATTTGGTGTGTTGGGGTTTTAGAATATGTAGATCAAGTTCAACGGAGCGGATCATCCACAAAGTAGCTCAATCAAGTGATCATCAATGGGTAAGAAACTTAGTGGACGTCCACTTAAGTTGACACAAGTTTTACTCATATATATATATATATATATATATATCACTAGTAAAAAGAGATCCTGCCCTAACGGGTGGATTGAACTATTGGGTCAGGTTTCACCAGCCCCAACGGTTCAAACCATTGAGACAAGGCCATGTAGCCTAACACACTATACGAAAATTTGCCCCCTATTTAATTTTACCCAAAAAAAAGAGGGAAGACATAAAGCCCCGTTCTCTCTATTTCTCCCTCTCTCACACACACACATCAAAACCCCCAAACCCGACGTGTCAATTTTGCAGTTCGCCACCGGATCTCCCTCAAAAAACCCTAATTGTTCCTCCCCAAATCGGACCCTGCCGCCTCTCCTGTCTCGTTTCAAAAATCCTAATACCCTCATCAAAGGAATGTGCTTCCCCTTCAACCTTACCGAGCTTTGCCCTTAACTCTAGGTCCATCGTTTTTCCTAGAACTTGTGTTTAAAATCCAGATAATCATACTTTAATATTTTCTCTAAGAAACAGTACTTTTTTCTTAGTAAAGTTTTAATTTTTTGGATGCCCATGTTGCTCGATCTCAATAACTTGGATTGTAGCATTTCGATTAGCTAGTTGCTCTACTGATTTCTGTATGCTTAATAATATTTCCCCACCATTTTGTGTGATTCTTTTAGGCGGTGAGAATCATTCGGAGCGCAAGTGAGGGGAGCATGACAATTGCAGATAATGATGCAAATGGTATGCTGTGAATTATTCGAAGTTGGAGTAGTAGTTTTTTTGCAAAATTTCTTAAAATGTTTCATATATCTGTTACTAGAACTTATATAAACTTATTAAGTTTATTGATTATATTAAGTATTATCTGGGTTTAATAGAGCATGTGACTATAGCTATTAACAAGAATATTGTATTGCATCGAAGAAGGAGCAATGCTGATCGTTATCCTATTCAAATGTTATCTGTTTTGTTCGGTAGTCGAGGTTCTGTAATTGAAGGATGACATATTCAAGACTCACTTTAAGAGTCGAAATAAGAATTCTTTTGTTTATGTTCTTCCCCGAGAATATAGGTCGTATCCTCTGCTTGACTAGTGTTCACATGCCTAACTTTGTGAAAATCATCAAGTCGTGCATTTTTCTTCCTAGAGAAATTAAAGATGCATTATATTGTTCATGACCTTGAGATTTAGCAGATAGGCCATGGAAAACATCAGATGCTAGACTTGTTCTTGAAGATGGTTTCATATGGAGGGCCAAATCATTTGGTGCTTCCGGAACACAAGTCGGTGAAGTGGTGTTCAACACATCTTTGACTGGGTACTGAACTATCTGATTTTTGCTTTCTTCATATTGTGAGAAATTTTCTTCATAGTGTTATATATGAATATTTTAATGTAGGTATCAAGAAATTTTAACAGACCCCAGCTATGCCGGTCAATTTGTCTTAATGACAAACACTCACATTGGGAACACGGGTGTCAACATTGGTATATAAGTCATATTTTGTTGGAAAAAGGTTTGCTAAAATTTTCTGTATTGCTTATATTAACAACTAATTTGCTTGAATCACATCCTTGTAGATGATGAAGAGTCCAAACAATGCTTCCTAGCTGGCCTGGTGATCAGAAGCCTAAGTATCTGGTAGGATTTAGATAATGAGTAAAATATTGTAGGAGAAAAGTGAGAGACAATGGATATGAGGAGTTTGAGAGAGAAAAGGGAGTTATTGAAGGAGAAAGATGGGAGAGGGACAATGGGAGTGAAGAGTTTGAGAGATAATGAGTGCTGGAAGACGAACAATACCAATTTAGATGTGCTAAAAATCTTGTATAAGCATGAGCATAATGGTCCATAGATAAACATCTCTAACATTAATAGAGAAATGTAGCAAATTAATGTTAAATCTAACCGAAGGGTCTTTTTTGAGACAACTTAAAGGATTTGGGGGTCTTATTTAAAAATACTAGGATTTGGGGCCTAATAGAAATAGAGAAGATTTGGGGGTCTTATATTATAAAAACCCTAATATTTAATGTGTTTATATTCATTTGTCTCATTCACACTTCAGGGTTTGATTAGTGGAGTCTCATGCACTGCTCCATACGAATGGACTGGGAACACAGGCTCAGTATGGGATTTCAGCAATGGTCAGAACCACGAGGAAGCTTTTCATGTCAGTAGTCTGTCATTTGAGAAACTTCTTGATATTTATGTTTATTTATTAATTATCGTTTGTGTCTCTCTTGTAGGTTGTTGCCTATGATTTCGGTATCAAACATAATATCTTAAGGCGCCTGACATCTTATGGATGCAAAATCACACTTGTGCCATCAACATGGCCTTCTGCAGAAACACTCGAATGACAGGGGTTAGAGTTAGTGCACGTCTTCAGCAACAAAGTGCTAATGATCAGCTAGTGGTAAACATCATAGCTGAAGAGTGAGATGATAATGTGATGTCAGATATTAATCAGGATCCTCCTCCAGGTATAAAAAACATTATATACATATATTTTGAGAATTAAATATACATATGTGTTACGTTCTTAATAAAAAATATGTCAAAGGTACAACCAAAAAGGTGCGAGGGAAGACAAGAGGAGTGAATGCAGATAAGGTATTAAGGTGCGAGGGAAGACAAGAGGAGTGAATGCAGATAAGGTATTCTCCCAAATTGAATTCTAAAATACATGTGACTCTGACTGAAGAAAATGGTAGACCTACGGGCCCTTATGCAATTTTAAACTGGTTACACAATTGGTTACACAATTTTAAACTACGCCCCCACTGAATGTGGAAAAATGGAAGAAGATTAAAAAAGCAGATGTGGAGAACTTGATCAAAAGAATGCAAGTTAGTGATGATTTGTTTTTCTAAAGGCATTATATTGGTTGCTTTGATTTGTTATATTTAGTTTGACATGAAATTATGCTTGCGTAGCATAAGTTTGAATTTGACATGTCGCTCCCTTGGGTTCAGAGATATGTAATTACAACATATCAGACCGTATATTATAATTTTCACTATAAGTTGAAGAAACATTTCGAGCAGTTTTTAACAATTGAGGAGGCAATTAAAAACAAACATGAAGCTGTCAAGACTCTAGAAGAATAAGAGTTTCTTTGCACTTTTTTTTCTAGTAAAAATTTTAAGGTACAATATCTTTTTTTATTTTTCTCCACGCATTATATTTTTTCTATTTTCATTTACTTCTTTCTAACTGTATGTCTTAATAACTTTAGATTCGCTCAAAGAAGAATGTTCTTAATAGGTCAAAGTTGACATATTACCACAAAGCTGGGTCAAAATCATTTATGTCACACCAAGAGTAAATTGTAAGACACTTTTTAGTTTTGCTTATAAATTTCTAACTTAATTATGTACATATATATATGCTGAAAAAGAAAATATGTTTGAATGCAATAGGCAGCACAGACTGGAGAGATGCAAGGTGGAATTGATCGTTTTGAAACAGAGTATAGAAGCACAAAAAAGGATGAGACTTAGGAGCAAAGGAAAAATGGGTAAGTAACGTGTCAATGATGCATGATTTTATAATATTTTAAGAATATAGGTGAAATTGATATTACTGTTCTAAAGAGGATTATATTGATTAGGTTGTAATTGAGAAGTTGCATATGATTGAACTGGATATATTTTTTTACTTATAGGATCAATTGATAAAGATGTGAACAGATACCACTCAACCTAATGGAACTCGAACAATGACAAATGAGGAAATTTGTGCAAAAGTTCTCAAAGTCAAATCAGGCTACATTAAGGGCTCTGGTTTTGGCCCTAGACCACCACCATTAAGGTTTTCTCGTTCTTCGATGAGTGAAATGTCTGAAAAGAATAAAGAGTTGCAAGAACAGCTTTAAGAGACCCAACAACTTATAGGAACTCAACAACAAAAGATCGATGCGTAAAATGAGGTAATCCAAAGATTGGAGGAACAAGCCAAAAAGTTTGAGGAGTTTATGGCTATTTTTCCAGGCAACATCCATCAGCTTAGTATTCTTAGTGAACTTGAACTTAGAGAAATGTTTCTTTGATCGTGTTGCATTTGTTTTTGCTTTAGACTAGCATTGTTACTTATGGTAGAAACTTGCTTGCTTTATTTATTTTAATTGTTTTGATGTAATATGGTAACAGTTGATGACAATTATTTATGTTTTTAGCGTTTTTCTCGTAATAGCATTATTATTAATGAAATAAAATTTCCTCATTATAAGTATACGGCTTACGTCGTCAAAAGAATATTTCCTCGTTATAGAGTATACTGCTTACGTCAACAAAAATATATTTCCTCGCTATAGTAATACAACCTATAACGGCAAAAGTAACTTTCCTCGCTATAGACCATATAACCTATATCGACAAATGTAAATTTGCTCATAATTAAATTTTTTTGGTGAGGAATATGGGGTACAATCTACAACGATAAATTTAAATTTCCTCGTCTTTGAGTCCCTTTACTGAGAAAATGTTTCCACGAGAAAAAGATATATATAATAAAGAAAATCAATTTCCTCGTTAAAGATTTACCTTTGGTGAGGAACAGTTTCCTCGCTGAAAGATACTTACAACGATGAAAATAGTTTTTTATTACTTTTATTATATATAAATTAAATATTATTCATGTATCATTGGCGAGGAAACTATAGTTTTGCGATGAAAAAGGTATGAGATTAGGTGAGGAAAAATATCGAGGCAAAAGAGTAACAACGAGAAAAGAATATATTCATCGCAAAAAGGATTTCGTAAGAAATTATAATATTCCTCGCAGAAAATTTTCTTGACCACCCTACCGCGAGGAAATGCTGACCAAAGTTTTTTCCTCGCCAACACACTACGGTGAGGAAATATTGACTTTCAACAACAAACTTGTTCCTCACAAATTAGCTTTTCTATTGTAGTGACCTTTTTTCATAAGGCGTGTCAATAAGGTAGCAATTTTAGAGAAATCCTAAATAAATTTCTTGTAGTAACCGGCAAGCCTTAAGAAGCTACGAATCTCTGTTACTGTCTTCAGCGGCCCCAAATGAAGAACTGCCTCGACTTTAGCTGGATCAACGACAATACCCTCCTTGCTAATGATGTTAGGACTCATGTTTATGAGCCTATTATCTAATCTAATTTAATGATTAAAAAACAATTTATAACTATGTATTTTTCTAGTTTTTGTGTGTAAATCCCCATAAATTTGAAAATATTATGACATATAATAATAAATATGTTATAATGTGATAAATAACATATTTTTAATATTTGAGTATGCTAAGAATTGATTTGAGATCAATTTAATGTATATATTCGAGTATGAGAATGAAATATATGTGCATAGGCAAACAAACTCAGAGTAGTCGACTAATGTTCTTAGTAGTCGACTACTCTGAGCCCGAATATAGCTTTCAAAAATTTAAGTATTTCAGAGTAGTCGACTACTAGCCATAGAAGTCGACTAGCGGGAAATTCTAGTTTCCTGATTCCTGTTGGATTCAGATATTTTGAGGCCCAGGTTCACTTGCATATTATATATACCTCTTGTTCATGAATTTTCACATATTTTATCAGTACTTTCAAACCCTAGTAGCTACCATCTCCTCCTCATAAACCATAGATCCAATTTAAGTTTTTCCAAAAGCTTTATGAAGCAATTTTTGGCGTGAAGGTGAGATCTTTGGCGTGTGGCTTAGGATATGGTTTAAGTTTGCAATTTTAGGCTTTCAACAAGATTTTCAGGTGAGTTTCATCTCTGCTAACCCTACACCCATGTTTTAAATTATTTTAATGAGATTTGATTTGTTTTTTTAAGCCTAAAAGCTATTTACATGCATAAAAATAGTTCTTTTTTAATAGATGAGATAAAGATCTGATCTTTTAGTATTTAAAAGATTATGAATGAATATTCAGAGGTAGATTAAGATTTGAATATAATTAAACATTACTTTTAATTGAGTTTTGATGGTTTACACGATGTTTTTATGCTTTTGTACATGTTTAGGGTTTACATATGAATTTTAAGGTAATAATTCTTGATCCATGTGTTAGATAAACATCAGTAGTATTAAACAAGTTTTTAAAATATTTTATACATGTTTACAGTAAGCTAATTGTGTTAGAATCACAAAACACATATACGAACACAACCTGTAGTAAGCAGGCTTATGACCTCTGGCCCGTGGACCGGAGGTACATGGCCGGTCGACCGACTAGTGTTTTTGTGCATGATGCATGTTTTTGTGTGGTTGTTGTTTGATCGAGGGATCTTCTCAATCAACCCACATTGTATTATGATGCTTGTTAACTATTTAACACCTGAGGTGTTTGTGAATATGAGATATAGATCCACACATGGAGATACGTGCACGAACACTTGAATACATGTTCTTAATTGAGTATACATGAAAAATTGAGATGCATGACGCATGTTTAAGTTGATAGTGTAGGAATAACATATGATAATGCATAATTCATCAGTGGTGGATGCTAAGTAATGAGTAGTTTTCCCACAATGTGACCGCGGCTATACCACACTTAGAGTTGAGCATTTTCCCGCAATGAGATCGCGGTTGTACCATACTCGAAGATGATCGGGGTTTACGGATTAGGCTGATACGTCTATAGTCCATTGTACGATCATCTGGATGCATCATCCGAAATAGGATGATATACCTATTCCCATAGAACGATTGAGTAAGGATGTTGATTCCACATGATATTATGAGTACCTTACAAGAGTATCGTTATTTCATGTAGAGGCGCACACACACACACACACACACACACACACACACACACACACACACAGACATATTTTGTAGTATTGCCCCTATATTAGATTACCTAAGAGTAGGGTATATTTTGGATACTTGGCATACATGGTATGATCTATGGAGATGTTTATGTTAGATGATATTTTTCGTATGACTGTGCCAACTACCCGAGGGTAGTCCGAGATTGTGACATTGGTTCATCATGATTGAGGTTTGGAGTTTTAGTATTTCTGGTATGTGTTGTTTTTAATTTATAGGATTGAAATTAGTTTTTAGCAATTCACAATTTGAGGCATAATATATGTTGATTATCATATCTCCATGATATTATTTTGATGATAACAATTTATACAATGTGTGTTATACAAATACACTAACTCTTATATGCAGCTTTCAATATCAAAATATGAACAAGTGCAAGTTGAGATTCAATGCATTATGAAGTGAAGAAGATGAAGAACATATGAGATAATGTATTTTATATTTTTTTACTTAGAATTATTGTACAAGCCTTGATCACTCACACACACACACACATAAATATTAGAACACACTAGCACAGGCTTAGTGTGTTGGTTAACTATAGAAATCCCCTATGTTAACCATTAGAGTTATAGTTAATAATGGAGTGTCAAAATATTTAATTCATATCATTTTCTAACTCTTAGTAGTCGACTAATTAGAATAGTAGTCGACTACTCATGTATATGTCTTAAATATATGTTTCTGTCAATTTACAGTATAGTCGACTAATATGGATAATAGTCGACTACTCAAGTTTATGACAGAAACATAAGTTTCTGTTATTTTAAGTATAATCGACTAATTGACATTATAGTTGACTACTGAAGGCAAAATTTATTTTCCAAGTTTCTGTCAAATTACAGTATAGTCGACTAATAAACTTTATAGTCGACTACTGAGAAATTTTCTAAATTCACAGTCTGTTTAAACTCAGTGTAGTCGACTAATCTGTCTTGTAGTCGATTACAGATACAGTTTTTTCAGAATTTAAAGTTTGAATATATGACTGTTTATAGCCATTTTTAAACATTTTTAAAGTTCAAAAAATTATTTTTTCAAGGGCTATAAATAGGTTATTTGTTCAAAAAAATGCAGAGACTTACATACCCATAAGCTTTGATCTTTGTGTATTTTTTTCAAGTAAAAAATATTCAGATTTTAAGAAAAAGAAAAGTTTCTGAAATTGGCTTTGAACATCATTCAAATACTTATTGTTTAGGCAATTTATAGAAGTTAGAATCATTCCTAAGCCACTACTACACTACACTACAAATCAATGCTTATAGGAATTGAAATTGTTGCTTCAAAAGTTCTCTCAAGTTGTGAGAGTTGTTAATCTCTTGGTTTAGAGATTGGTGTGCAAATTGGCAAGGTGTTTGTCAATTGGTGTTGTAATTTACAAGGACTTGTAAATTGGTCAGGTTTGCTTTTTGATTTTGTAAGTTTATTGAAAATCATAGTGGAAACTTTCAAACGGGATTTGCTTGGGGACTGGATGTACACCGGATTGGTGGAAGCAGTATAAATCTTTGTGTTTGTGTTTGTAAATTTCTGAGATTGCTATTTTTCTTTGCAATTTATAATCTACAGTATAAATCTTTGTGTTTGTGTTTGTAAATTTCTGAGATTGCTATTTTTCTTTGCAATTTATAATCTACTTTGCATAAATTTTAAAAGAACTCTTTGCAATTTATAATCTACTTTGCATAAATTTTAAAAGAACACTATTCACCCCCCTCTAGTGTTCTAATGTATCTATTTCAGATCCTATAGTATATACATGAGGGTTTTCTTCTTTGGATTATTTCACTCGATGTACTAATTCTCGTGTTGTGGGTTTCTAAATACCAATTTCCACTTTGTGTAGTATAGATGATTTTATATCTATATGTACTAACAATATTTTCTTATATACTCCTACCCCTTCCCCTTGGGGGCGGTGGAGATGATCTCGCTAGCACATTGACACTCGTTGTTTCCCCTCTTTTCAGGTGGCGAGTCAGGCGCACGGAGAGTCGCTGGTTGATAGAGTAGTATTTTAGCTCCTATCCATTTTATTATATTTGTAGTTATCTTAGAGCTCCACAGTAGTTATTTATTATTCAGACATTAGTGTTTATACTTTTATTTTGTAGAGGCCGGGTGCCTTAGTGAGATTTTATTTGACACTTGCGTTGAGACATATTACATTTGTTCCAGATTCAGAGTTATTTTATTCTATTTCAGTTGGACCCTGATGATGGTTATTTATACACTCCTTTTAAGTTTATCTTGCTCATTGTACTACTTCACTATTCTTTGCATGTTTTGTACCGACACCTGTTTGTTGATTCCACTAGAGAGATAGTAACTGTGATGGTGAAACATGTTGTTGTACGGTGTTGGTGCA